GTACATACTAGAAAAAGCTTGGAAGTAACTCATTACAAATAACATGTTCTTGTAATTAATTCCTTTCTCCAGTAAAGAAGGCATTCTTATGTTATGAATATAATGCAATAACCTCATTTCTTTCCTAGTGCAAGTATAGTTATTTTAGTAATTGTTATTGCTATGCAGCATGTGGCCTCACTACATAAGTATAGGGCAGTGACTTGGAACAACCTGATATTTTTTAAAAGTAACTAAAACTAAACCATTTAGCTACTTTTGAATGACAGATAATTAAAAAGTTATTTTTAAAAGCTGTGTTTCCACTAGTTACAACTTTTTCTGGGCCTCAGAACAGTTAGTAACTTGGAATTATAATTATTAGTTACACAGAAAAGCAACTGATTATTTTTTGCAATTAACTTTTAAAGCTCTGGATGCAGAGGTATTTATTTTTAACGGGAAGCATGGGAAAGCATCTCCGCAACACAAATAGATGAGCAGCTGCCTAACATCAGAAGGGATTTATGTCAGACCTGAAATGAGATTGCAAACCACAAATAAATTATTGATGGCATTTTATCCATGGATCAGCAAACCAGATCTCAAGGGAACTCTGGATAATGGATACGGTGGTTTCTGTCTCTAAGTAACTAGCTTATGAAAACGACTTTATGACAGCAGCCCATGTAAAATTAACTACCTGACAGCTTCATTCACAATCCACTTCCACTGTTGTTGTGAGATCTGATACTGATCCTAAGTGTACAGAGAGGTGGCAGGTGCACTGAGTGATCAAAGGCCAATATGGCTGGAAGGCAAGACTAGTAGACAAGTAGGGCAATGTGAGGACTCAGGTTACAAAAAGGGTGGGGGAAGGTGAGAATTCCTGAAAGATGAAAAGGAAAAGACGATTTTAAAAAAATCATTTGTTCCTCTTGGCTTTTTAATCATATTTGCTATCCATGAGTGTATTAAAATTGTATTTTACTGGTGGTTTGAGGATGTTTATATTTAATGTGATTTTATAAATGAGCATGTCTGATTTTAATGTGATTTTACGAATATGTCTGATGCCACATTATATTTTTCAAAATCTGCTTTGGGAAGACTGGTCTGAGACAGGAAACATTTTTTTAAAAAGCTATCTGACTTCAAGTCAGACTGTTATCCACAAACATTGGCATTCATTAGCCTATGTTTATGCCAGGCAGCTAAACTGAAGAGGGGCTTCACAATTACATTTGCTGCACTAAATAGATATCAGTGGTCTCTGTGTTGTATGTCTTCAAGTCATTTCCAACTTATGGTGACAATAAGGCAAACCTATCATGGGGTTTTCTAGACATGATTTGTTCAGAGGAGGTTTGCCATCGTCATCCCCTGAAGGTGAGAGCATGTAACTTGGCCAAGATCACCCAGTGGGTTTCATGGCTGAGCTGGGAATTGAACCCTGATCTCTAGGGTTCAACACTCAAACCACTATGTCACCGATCTGAAAAGCTGACACAACAGAATAGGACAGACATCACTAGTTATATTCTTGTAGAACTATATGGGAGGAGGGAAACACACATACATTTTTCTGTTTATATTGGTATGATAGATTTCCATACTGGTGTCTCACACTGGTTTTCCATTTTCTCCCAGTATGCCTTATCAAGCCCACTAATCCATCCAGCTCATTATTTTCTATACTCATTGGCTCTCCATGGTGTCCTTATTTCCCAGCCCCATCTAAAGATCCAGAAATATTATTTCTAGAGAAGTCGAAATGTTAGCCCATTACAGTGATAACCTCAGAGTGTTGTGGAATATTTTGAGATTAAAAGATGAAGCACTGTTTAGGGTACTGCTTTGCCCTTCACAAAGGTAGATTGAATACACATGGGTAGAAAGGAACAAATAATTGTAGCAGGCATCCAGAGGGAAAGCAATAAACACTGGTCGCAGTAAAATTAATATGGTGTTTTGTGATATTGGGGTTCCCACATGTCCTTTATTATAAGTTGTTGTAGTTGTGTGCCTTCATGTCATTTCTGATTTATGGTGACCCTAAGAGTTGTTCAGAGGAGGCTTGCCATTGCCTTACCCTTGCCATTGCCTTACCTCTCAACCTCAGGGTTGAGAGTGTGTGACTTGCCCAGGGTCACCCAGTGGGTTTCATGGCCAAGCTGAGAATTGAACCCTGGTTTCCAGAGTCACAGTCCAGTGCTCAAACCACTATGCCACACTGGCTCCCATTTTGTTATAAGAGGTATCATTTATTTGAGGCTTGGAAAGTTTTTCCTTTTATATAGACTGAATGAGATGCCAACCAACCTCCTGTATTTTGGGGAGTGTGGGCCCTTCATAAAGACAGAAATGTGGGAATCATGACATTTATGAATGTGAACAATGTGTTAATTTTAAAGAGGAACATATGGCTAGGTTAACTGAAATCAATACTTGCATTTGATATCAAGATAGAACAAAGACTTGTTAATAGCTACTTCCTAATGGTTAACCCTGCATGTCATGAAGGGTTGGCCATCCCTTATTGCTGTTTTGAAAACCTGGCACTAACATATGGTATCTTAAATTTTATCAGGGCATGGGCTTTTGTGGACAATGCCCATTTCATCAGATGTTATTTCAGCTGGTAGATGTCTATACATGTGCTTGCATAGGTGTGTAGAGATCATTAACAGTATAGTCAGAGAGAAAGAATAAATGGCAAAAAGATAATAATGCTCATTTATAAGACAGCATTTGAATGAAAACACAAAGATCACTGTATTAATGAGCTGACTGATACATGTAGATTGAAAAATAGTTTTGATGAATACTTGTTCAGCTGTTTCATATTGAAAACTGTTGTTGAATTAATATTGTTCAGGAATGGTTATTCTGCAAGACTGAGTGTCCCTCCACCACCAAAGCTGGAATCTTGGTTTGCTTTAGGATCTGGTTGCTATGTCTTTATCCTTGCTGTAAAGTTGTTGTTGCTGCTTTATATAGAGTCCATAAGCGTTCACATAGGGTCCAGGTCTGCCATTCAAGCCAGTGAGAGTGAAGAGTGAAGGATGGATCATAGATCATTGATGATAGCCTTTGCAGACTGCCAGAAATAGTGCAAATTGAATCCACTTTAAGGGTTAGGGTTAGGGAATCATGGGAACTGTATTTTATTGTGGCACCAGAGCTCTCTGACAGAGAAGGCTCAAATGTCTCAGAAAAAAAAAACAGTTCCCATGATTCCCTAGCACTAACCCTAACCCTAATAGTGGACTCAATTTGCACTATTTCTGGCAGTCTGCAAAGGCCTGTAGTTTTTGAGGGAAGCCTAGATGACAACAAATGGCTTTGGGTTGTTATCTCATCTTGATTTGTCCCGTAACATGTTAACTTTGGGTCTGGGCACTGTAGTCTGAGAAATGCCTAATTTTAACTCCTTGAATTGTGTACCCTTGTTTTTAGGCCAACATTGACACCATTTTATCATACAATATGCTGCAGACAATTGATTTTGTGGTATTTTCTGGGTGGAAGTTGGAATCCTGGAAATATGTCGGTTTCTAATATAAAATGGTGCTTATATTCCATTGTGTCATTGCAGAGCCAGTGTGGTGTAGTGGTTTGAGTGTTGGACTATGACTCTGGAGAACAGGGTTCAATTCCCAAATCAGCCATGATACCTGCTGGTTCCCTTGGGTAAGTCACATGTTCTCAGCCTCAGAGGAAGCCAATGGCAAACCTCCTCTGAACAAATCTTATCAAGAAAAGCCCATGATAGGTTTGCCTTGTGGTTGTCTTAAGTTAGAAATGACTTGAAGGCACACAACAACAACAAAGAATATGAACTTGGTGCATGAATATGGCTGAAATTGATGGTGAGGTGGGTGTTTTTGATGGTTTGGCAGAAGTCAGATCCTCTTGTCCATGAGTTCAGATAATAAATATCATAAATGAATCTCAGGTAAAGAAGAGCTTTGTGGATACAGAACTGAGATAGAACTGTGCCATGTCAGCCATGAAGAGGTTGGCAAACTGAGGTAGGCCATGCATCTGCCCATGGCAGTGACACAGAATATGTACATTGACAGCGCTTTAGAAACAAACTTTAATAATAATAATAATAATAATAATAATAATACTCTGAATCCTGTGTAATTGTGGGTGAGTACAAAGTGGAAGTATTTAGATATGCTATAAAACAGGGGTAGGCAACCTTTTTGAGCCGGGGGCCAGGTTGCTG